CTGGCATTTTGCAACCAACCCCCTTTGTTCCAACGACATTATGTTTTCCCCCAAAAAAAAAACATGTGGACGGATGAAATGGACCTGGAAATAAAAGGTTAACCTTGGGACCTCTACCAATACTGAACCAAAAAGGGAAAACCAAAAGGTCAAAAGATCGGCTCTGGGCGACCGAGAATCCATTTCGCACCACCTGAGAACCAAGGTTGAAACCATTGCCAGCTGGTATTTGCAGGGGAATCGAATCATAGGGTGTCTGATTTCGGTGGTGCGAGAAGCGGATTTCGTCCATCGCAATATGATTCCCTCGTCCAGGTCCTCCAGTAGAGAGGTTCGAACAAGAGTACCAGCTTTTCTGTAGTCTATTTTGATAGGGGAACCCTGCGTAAAAGGGCACTACTGGGGGACCTAGTTATGGTTTGGCTTTGAACCAACCCAAAAAGAATCGGACCTCAAGAAAAGGGAACCACACCCAAGGGAACCTGAAATGAATATGCTGAGCGGTGTCCCTCTGGTTTTCCCAACACCCCCACAAAGGGGACCCGAAAAATCGACGAGCCTCATGTGGGGGATGTTTTGGAGAGGGAAAAACTGATCTCAGACACCCAGTGGATTTCCATGGGGAAAAAAGGAATCGGCACCCTCGTTTTTGGTTGGTGGGCTTTAAAGGGCAACCCTTCCCCAAAAAGGGAAGAAGAAAAAAAAGGCACCACTGGGCAACAGAGTGATGGCCATCCACTTCGCACCGCTTGGCAGCTGCTTTCTTCCAGGGCTTCTTTACAGGGCAACCCAAGGGGAGCCCACGCATTTTGGGTCTCATTGAGGCGGTTCGCCATATGTTGACCCCTTATTTCCGCACCTCAAGTGAGCCGAGCATTGGGATCCTATGAACAAATGAAGAATCCCAAGCACTGCATGCGTCACGAAGCTGTACCTGCAGTAGCCCTCCAGAAAAACTGTGATTTTGTGTTCATTTACCTACATGGGGGGTTGTCAAAGGGCCGGGGGCCTTCTTGGTATGACTTTGTCCAATGGCGGCTGATCGGCGGCTTGTCGGGTGCAAAGGGGACATTGGCTTGCCAACCCACATGAAGTGATGAGCTGGGGTCAACTCCAAATGGCAGATGGTAACTTCCATTTGCTTAAGCCCCCGCGGAAAAAAATGAAAATATGTCCAGTAGTGATAGAATCCCTTTAAAGCCAACAGGGGAAAATAAATATTTGTTGTATATTAAAAAAAAAAGAGCAAATGGAAGGTAAGTTGTCATGGTGCTTCATTTCGTGCTGGGCTGCCATGTTGTGGGGACATGCCAAAACCCGGAGGGTTTTCAGCGATGACGGCTGGTTTCTTCAGCCACCCCCAGCGTGGTGCAACCGCCCTTTTCTGCGCGCACAGGCCGCTTTGCCAGGCTGTTTTCGGCACTTGCAGCTCACTGGGCGTGTCGTTTTTGCTTGTGGTTAAAAAAGAAAAAGAAAAAAGAAAACCACCCATTTTCTTGGTTGCTGTTGACCCCCTGCAAAAAGTTGTGAACTTTTTGGGGGTTTAGTGGAAAACACCTTTATTTACCAAAAAGTTAAAGTCTAAAGATCCAACCCAATAGCAGTCTAGTTTTGGGGGATTCCCCCAAAAAAATACACACCCAATTTCTCTTCTGCCACTGACAGGTGCCAGCCTCCAAAGCTGTCATCAGATTCTGCCAAAGCGCGGTCTGGCTGGCAAATCCGATCGAAACCAAGTATCAAGGCTGACACTGTACAAGTGCCGTGGCCTGAAAGGCAGGAATCGGCGAGTAGCAAGTAAACACATGCCACACTCCTGAACTGCTGACATCAACTTGCTACTAGGCTCCTCCCAACAGGGACAGCCGTGTCACGTCCTACCCCAGAAATGCCGTACGACTCTACGGCCGGGGCTTTCTGAAAGTTCCCGAAGCGCGCGCTCCAAGCAAGCGCTCTGCCGCCGCGTCATTCACCCACGCACCGGGACCAGCATCTGCGCATGGCAGCTAGAGCCGTCCGACGCCCGAAGGGGATATAGGAAAGCCTCAGCGACACATCAAAAGACAGCGTGATATACCTGAACTATCTTCAGATCCCGTGATAAAAGTTTAACTTTTAGTGGGTTAAAATCAGTTTCCCTCCAATTGTACATGTATATATATGAGCGGCCGGCAATATTACAACTACATCCGGGCGGTTTAGTGACCAAAGTTATCGTTTTTGGTAGGTCCCTATATCGTTTTACATGTTTTGGTGCATGCCTCTGCGCTTTTCGGTTTTTGATTCACAGCTCGTCTGAGGACTCATCCATAGCACTGCTGGCTATGGCAGCCTCATGCTTGCGTTTACTACGCGCATTTGCCTTTGCCAAACGCTTTTCGTCTCTTTCGACGAGCTCATCAAAAGTCAGGGGACGCTTGGCTTGCAATGACCCACGGAATGCTGCCAATTGAGCTTTGTGTTTTCTGAGGATTTCGTTCTTTCGCCCCAATGCCAAAGCTGGCTTGCGCCAAGTAGGATCTTGCCAGAAGCCTCGCTTCCATTCCAGCTGCTCTGCGTCAAGCTTCCTTTCAGTGATCTGGTAGGAGATGCGATGGCGTTGGTCGCTGTTGCCTTAGATGCGCGCGCGGTTGTTTGGAAAGAACGCAGAAAAAAAGTAGGAGATGTTATTTTGGACAAGGCGCTGAACACGCAGCTGGAGATCCGGACCGGGAACCTTGTATTTCTATTGGGCACCGCTTCCCAAGAATACGATCGCGTGATGTAGTCATCGTCTACAAAGCTCAAGGCCCAAGTCTTCCGAGGCTTTGCAGGGTTGAAGACCTTCACTGTAAACTTGGTTCCACCGGGGTTTTGCTTCATTTCTCTTGCTGCGTAGGTTTTCAGCATGTTGACCACCTGTTCCTCTGTGTCGCAAAATGCATCAGCATTAAGCAGGAACTCGTCAAGCCATCGCCGGATAGGAGAGAAAACCTCGGAATCGCACATAGACTTGCCGTGTTTCTCAACGAGGTAATTGACCCGGCACTGTTGCTTCTTTTCTGAGGCTATCTTGTACAGGAAGTAGTACAAGTTCTCATAAGATCGGAAGTGTGTGCCAGTGTCAAAGCCCAGGATGAGCTCGTCCAGCGACCCCAAATTCTGGATGTGGTTCAAGGATTCAAGGACGCATAAGCTTCCAAAAAGTGCACTCAGCTCAATGATTTCGCTAACCAGAACCACAGCAGAGACCTGCCTCTTGCCATCACGACTGCGTTCAACAGCGTACATTGTGAAGACACTCAGGGTCTTTCTTTGGCTACCGTGGAATTGATCACTCGTTTCAGACCCACTGATTGGGATTGGTAGCTTCTCCATGAAATCAAATTGGCAATAAGCGCGGCTGGGCCCCAAATTTTCAACCCGGCTCCGCATGTTGTTTTGTTCTAGTTGCGCCGCGGCCATGTGCCATTCGTAAGCGGCAACAACTTCTGCATGGAGCCTGGCCTCAGTAAGCAACGCTCCCTCCACGTGGCGAACTCCTTCTGGCCTTGGGGCAGCTGCGCGTACTTGTTGAAAACAACGCTCGTGCAGTGGGCCGAGAACTTCTTGAACCAAAGTCAGGGAGGAACTGGTGTCAAAAGAGCTGAACAAAGACTTGAACTTCGTTCGCTTGAGCACTGAATGCCAATATCCGGGACAAACAGCTTCCATATCTGCTTTGGCGCGCTGCATGAACTCCTTGGCTCGTGGCAAAATCTTCTTGCTGTAGGACACGCAGTGGTCACAAAGATCTGTTTTCTTTCGAGCTTTTTGTACTGAGGAAAGTGCAACTTGTGGATGCTGCGGAACTGGCGGAAACTGAGGTGTCCGTGCAAGGCAGGCGAGCTCCTGAGAATCGTGGTCGGTCTTGCACATAGGCTGCACACTTGCAGCCTCTCTTTGCGTGGGCCAACGCAAGTCCAGCTTGATGGCGTGGAAAAGAAGTCCAGCGCGTCCTTGACCAGCTTCTGCCACTTGGGGTCCTTCACCTTGGAAGGTCGGCCAACAGACTTCTTCATGCTCCACTTCTTTAGGGACCTTTTCAGTTTTCTCTTGTAGTCCCCCTGCGCCACGTAGCCTAAAGACACGATCTTTTTCGAGCTAAAGCCGCTGGAAAAGACACACCCGTCAAGCGCTCGCGCGACAGGTAGGCTGACATGTTTCCATGCTTGTCGCATGGCTGCAATGTTTGCAACAAGAGGCTCACAGTGGCACTCTTTGTCTGCTGCTACCACAACGGCCGGCATGACCCCGGGAAAGGTAGCTTCTACGCGCTGTAGGACAGATGACATAAGCTTCACTGCGTCTTCTTTTGTGGAGCAATAGCTCAAGGCTTCCTCAGCTAGCTTCTGGCTCTTGGCTCGGAAGGTCCGGTCGGTCCACTCAGCAACGGTGTACGTCCTCGCCTTGCGTTGTCTGGTGGAGGCTTCGGCTTCTTCGTCGCCAATGAGAGGAGGCTCATGGTCGTGCGGTGCCGCTGTAGGAGCAGCAACAGAACTGGAGGCTGTGGTCCCACGTGGAGGTGCAGCTGTTGTCTCGCCAGGAGGCGCGAGAACGCTTGATCCAGCAAGTCTAGTTGGGGCTGCTGCAGAGAGGGATGTTGTAGTACCGGTTGCAGGCGTGACGGAGGCGTTGCCGGGTTTGAGATGCTTTGGCTCAAGGCCGGCCAGAAGCGCAAGGTCCTCGTACAAGTAGCTCAGAGAAGGGCAGCTCTCTTCTGTTTGCAAATGCGCGCGGTCGCTTTCTGTAACCTCGGATGTTTCAAAACCAGAAGTAAAGCAGCACCTACAGGCAAACGACAAAGTCATGCCTAAGTCACTCCTTTGTCTGTGTGGCCATGTGTTCCCCCATGTAAACGCCGATTCCAAGAAGTCACTCCTAAGTCACGCCTCGGCAACAATCCCCATGGAACGCTTGACATCACCGAGCTGATCATGCTACCAAATTACAGGTGTCAACACTGAAACACACTGGAACGC